AATGAATGAAGTTTATACTAGGCTTGGAGAAATGAACAATGCTGTGAGAAACCTCCAAGAACTCTTAGAATTAGATAGTTCATCTTCATTGTGTGTGTTGGTGAACACAGTTGGAAAATTGTGTAGGCTGATTAATGAGGATGTGAATGAACAGGTTATGCAGGTATTGGGACCTGAAGACCTCCAAAGTATTATCAACAAACTGGAAGAACATGAGGAATTTTTCCCAGCATTTCAGGCATTTACTAATGATCTACTTGAAATCTTAGAAATTGATGACTTGGATGCCATTGTACCTGCAGTAAAGAAATTAAAAATACTTTCATACTATAACAAGTTACCACAGACTGGGTGGCATATAAACAACAGAAATGTATCTCTCATAGTTCTGGAGGCTGGAAGTCCAAAATCAGGGTGCCAACATGTTTGGGTTCTTGGTGAAAGCTTCCTGCCTTCTTGCTGTATCCTCACATGGTGAAAGGGGCAGAGGAGCTCTCTTTTTTAAGGGCATTAAGCTCATTCGTGAGAGCTCTGCTCTTGTGACCTAATCACCTCTCAAAGGCCCCACCTCCTAAATACCATCACATTGGGGATTAGAATTTCCATATAACAATTTTTGGTGGGGGGGGCACAAGCATTCAGATTACATCATAGCCTGTTTCTAAAGTAATTCTAGATGCCAGATTATGTCCTTTTGTTCAACACATGGTTTTTCTCTGTCTCATAAGGTCCTTTCTGTCCGGAACATGATGATTGAAGCTATTCTGTTTTCTTGTCTGAAGTGTGCGGGTTGGACATCTCTCCCAGTCATGTTTACAATATTACCTTGGGATTTTTTTTTTCTGTTAGGAATCTCCATTTGGCATATTCCTCCAACAGCCATTGTCAGTTTAATCAATATTTTTTTTGCCTCTAGTCACAATCGCTTGCTCTAATAATGACTAGTGTCATCCTGTCTATCTTTGGGAAAACTTCAGTTACTTTTTCAGCGCATTTCTAAAAAGACATCATCCAAAAGGTGTGAACTCTCTTTTAGGCATTTTATTAATCTCCCTATCACAGGCACCTGGCACGTATCAGGTGGTTATTTAATGTTTATTTAAATGAAGGAATGCATCCATGGCCATTACAGCTCTACCACTTTTTTATTTTTCTACTTGTTCCCTTCCAATATGGTTCCCTGTTTATTCCTCAGAAGACATAAAGGCATTATATGTGTTTATATATCCTTAATGTAGCTACACCAGCTATATAATGCCTAGGTGGGGAGCTAGGCTTATGATCTCTTTCAAGATCACATGACTGTTGATGTTTGGGCTAGACAAAAGCCTTTCTAAGATGGTTGAGCACAAGAGTGCCTATGTTCTACCGACAGCTGCCATTAGGAAAAAAAAAATTATTTTGGACATTCCAAGCTTACTGATTGTTACTAGAGTCTTATTCTATATGAAATAGCTTAACTGTTACCTAGCAGATCTTTAAGGTTTTAAAAATCATTTTCTAAATACATGGTTTGGTTACTTTTTCCATCTTATGGAGCAAAGGTCATTCTAGTTGGTTGCACTAAACTTGAGACACTTAATAGAAAATTCATAAGCCAGTTTTTCTTTTGTGAAAGATGCAAAGGTTGATATCTGTTATAAATAAAGGTACATATCTTCTCTTTTAGATTACTGCCTTAAATTGCATCTAGAAAAGAAACTGGTAGTTAGTCGACAGTACGGATCACTGATAGAATAGCCTTGATGCAGTAATACTGTTAAAAAAACATAATGAAGGTGGCTCACACTGTAGCACATTGAAAATACAAATTTTAGGGGCGCCTGGGTGGCTCAGTTTGTTAAGCATCTGCCTTCAGCTTCGGTCATTATCCTGAAGTCCTGGCATTGAGCCCCGCATTGGGGTCCCTGCTCAGCAGGGGAGTCTGCTTTTCCCCCGCCCCTTACCCTGCTCGTGCTCTCTCTCTCTCACACACTCTCTCTCCTAAATAAATAAAATCTTAAAAAAACCCACAAAACTTTAAAGCAATGTGATTCATGAAGCACAGCATTCCCATGTAACATGTTCTAGTTGTAGCTTGATGGGTAATTATAAACCAGCAATTTTTTCAAAATTATATTTAATGTATCTTTTGTCATCTCTGATAGAGTATTTTTATTTGGTGATTAGATTTTTATATTTAGTAAATTAGTAGTTATAAGGCTAGAGAATTTGCTAGGTCTTACTTTCACAATCTTTACTGTCTGTTAGAACAGTTTGGAGGCATTTTTTTCAGTTTTATTGAGGCATACTTGACATAAATAAACTGCATATTTAAGGTGTACAGTTTGAGTTATAATATGTATGCATCTGTGAAAACATCACAGCAATCTAGATAATGCACATTTACCACTACCCCCTTCCCCCAAATTTCTTCTTGCCCCTTTGTGTTTCATCCTCCTTCACTCTGTTTCCCCCTCTCCAGGTAACCACTGGTCTGTTTTCTGTCACTGTAGATTAGTTTGCATTTTCGAGAATTTTTTTAATAAATGGAATCATATAGTGAGTATTCTTTTTTGGTCTGGCTTTTTTCATTCAGCATAATTATTTTGTGACTCATCCACGTTTTTGCTTGTATTCTTGTTATTTCTGAGTAGTAGTCTACTGTATATATGACAGTTATACTGTACTACAGTTTGTCCATTTACATGCTGATAGACATTTGAGAGGGTACTATTATAAATAAAGCTGTTATAAGAAAATAAATAAAGCTGTTATCAAAGACATTTGTACAAGTCTTTGTATGAACATAGACATTTATTTCTCTTGGGTAAATACTTAAGAATGAAATGGCTGGGTCATAGGGTAGTTTTAAGTTTAATTTTTAAGGAAATTGCCAGTTTTACAAAGTAGTTGTGCCATTTTGCATTTTATATTTCCACCAACAGCCTTTAAAAATTCCGTTTGCTATTCTGGAGTGACTTTTATATTCATAGGCTACTTTTGGAGGGTATAGAGAGAGACAAAAATATTTAGAAGTTTTTTTCTCAGAACTTTAGGTAAATATTTCTTTGGAGAATTTATGAAAATCTGGAGCTCTTTTCAGTGAGACATAATCACTGTGTTAGTCTTTTTTCCCTTTAGTATGAGAAATAGAAGAAAATGTATTCTTAACTTTGGATTTCATAAAACGAGGAAAGAAATACTTTTTATATTTGGAGAGTTTGGTTTTCCAAGTGATTGCTAAGATACTGTGAATCAGATATTAGTTTTATAGCATTCAATGTAACTAAGTGTGGAGTTAATAAAAGTAACTCTGGAAATCTCTTATAATAGGTTATATAAGAATTTTCTTTGAAAAATCTCTTAAGTCATCTATAAAATACAGTGTTCAGAACTAAGATTTCTAAGTTCAACACAGTTGTTTTTTCTTCCTCCAGCATTAGAAGAAAGGAATATTTATTTATTTGCCCCATTGAAGTGGTTAGCTTGCATGGAGGTGCTATGTCTAATGAAAACTATGTAATTTAAAATTCTAGAATTCCATTCAGCTTGATGTGCAAGGCATATGGGAATTGATATAAACTGAGGAAACAGCAGATTGATATTTCGTGCTTACTCTGGGTCATAAGCATATGTTTTATTGAGAGGAATGGTGGGTGGAACCTCCTGTATTGTTTAAATTTATTTCTATCACTTTTTTTTTTTAAAGATTCTATTTATTTGAGAGAGAGCATGAGAGAGAGAGAGAGAGCACATGAGAGGGGGGAGGGTCAGAGGGAGAAGTGCTGAGCAGGGAGCCCCATGCAGGACTCGATCCTGGGACTTCAGGATCATGACCTGAGCCGAAAGCAGTCGCTCAACCAACTGAGCCACCCAGGTGCCCCTCTTTCACTTTTTTTGTTTTGTGCAAATTCTCATAAATTAAATGCACATATGATAGGACTACACTGTAATATATGGTAACAGGTGAAGCTGGATGCAAATGGAATTAATAATGTATTAAGAATAGGGTCGCTGATAGGAATGTCTGCTAAATCTGTGTCCATTGGCCCTCTTTAGCTTTACCTCATGAGATTAGCAAGGATAAGTAGCCATCGGTGCCTATTCAGTGCTGCTTTTCCTTTCTTTTCTGGCTCTGCCTAGATCGTTTTCCTCCTCTCTTTGCTTGTGTTATCTACGCTCTTTGGTTATGTCCCCAACTCCTTGGTGTTCTTTCATCTCTTCAGTATCAGTAGTATACTTGTTTTCTCCTTAGAATGCTGCCAAAAACCATAGATATAAATCAGTGGTGCGGTTTATATTTTATAGTTTTGTTGTGTATGTAAGATAAACTAAGAAATTATTCTAAAAATGATGTTCTGCTTTTATGAACCTGAACTTTTAATTGTTTACCAACATTCCAAATGCTTCTTGAAATATTAAGGAAAACCCTTTAGTTGCCTAACTTGTAAATGCATTTTTGATTGTCATATTTTCCTGAGAATTAAAAATGTGGATCTCTTTAACTAGCCTGAGTAATCAAGACCTGAGACAGTGTGGCATAGAAGAAAGTTTACTTGTCTGTGTGTCGCAGGTCCTGGGCTCCAGCCCCAGTTCTGTCATTAACCCACTTTGTAATCCTGGGCAAGTCATATTTCTCATCTGTAAAATATGGGGAGTGGACTTGATCATTTTGAAAATTATAAAGATTATCCTCTGATGCAGGGGAAGCAAACTTGTAAAAGAAGTTGTTTTTAAAAACATTTTATCTTGTTATATAAGTTGTCCCTGAAAATTAATGGTTTAATTATTAGAAATGATGTATAATCACTTTTGAATTTGTGTGTATCTCATCTGTTGCAGGATGCTTTAATCTGGATCCCAATAGAGTTTTGGATGTCATTTTAGAAGTGTTTGAATGCAGGCCAGAACATGATGACTTCTTTATATCTTTATTAGAATCTTACATGAGTATGTGTGAACCGCAAACACTGTGTCATATTCTTGGGTTCAAATTCAAGTTTTACCAGGTAAAAAAAAAATGTGTGTGTGTGTGTATACAGACATCGATAAATCTCATGGTTTTATATGTATAACTTAATTTGAATTTTATTTGTAAATGATTGGTTTCAGCTCAGCCATTCTAGCAAAGCAGGTAGATAAATGGATAGCTAACAATGCCATATGATAAGTACTATATTAGTAGTATGAATGGTGTGATGTGAAAGCCTAGAGCAAAGCATAATAAATTTTTGCCTTGGGAGAGATGGAATCAGAGAAGACTTTATAGATACAACTCTTTTTTAACCCAGTCCTTGAAGGATGAGTAGGAGTTTGTTGAGAGTTGTTTTTCGAAATAAACTGAGTGAAGACATGGCAGTATGAATGTATATAACCGATTGAAGAAATGGTACATAGTCTGATGTGGCTGGATTGTAAGATATAGGGAAAAGAAAGAACAAGAAGTGAAGTTGGAAAGGTAGGCACACTTTAGATTGTCAAAGGTACTGTGTTGAGTTAGAATTTTATTATATAGGCAATGACCGTAGGAATTTTTTTATGGACGTGGATAAATTCTTGAGGCATATTTTACATTACTTTTCACTTAAATCACTATAATAATTATCTAGCAAGTCTGCCTCTATTTCTCTTTCAGTCTGTCTTTCATATTATTACTACTGTTATATTTTAAAAGAGATCGAATTGACCACTGCTCAAAAACCTTTGCAGGATAAAATTCAAACTTCTAAACATGGCAGAAAAGGCTCTTCACAATCTAGCCCCATTCTTTCTTTCCAGCCTCATATTTAGTGGTTTTCCCCCCTCAAATCTAATATTCTAGTCCTATTAAATTACTAGCCATTTCCTAAATTTAGGTATAGACATTAGTATATATAGACCTTTATTTATATGCAGTTCCTTATAACTAGAAAACTCTTCTTACTCAACCCTCTCACCTGTCTTTTCCTCATCTTGAGGACTCCTATTTATTCTTTAAGATCAAGTGCTACTTGCTCTGTAAAGTCTTGCTGTCACTTCACCCAGGTGGAATTAGTTATTTCTTAATCTCTGTTCTCATAAAACCTGACACAGACTTCTAGCACTTATCAGGTTATATTAGCATAAACTGTATCTGTGTCCCTTGTCAGATTGTGAGCCATTTAGAGTGGGGTCTATATTTTAATAATTTCTCTGGATTAATTTACTGCTTAGCCTATAGTAAATGCTCACTAATTGTAAATGAGTGATCTATGTTTTTAGGAAGATAACTTTCATGATAGCATGGAGGATTTTAATGTAATAAGGCCTCTATTGTCCATCCGTTTGGTATAGCTTTCCTAATTTGTCTACCTGCCTGGGATACTTAGTCAAGAAATACTCATTTATGGAATGTTTATGATATGCTCTTGTTTTGCTAGGCACTGAGGATACTCTGGTAAAGAGGGTCTTTTCCTGTCCTCTGGAGCTCAAATTCAGGATAGTAAGACGATTTCTTTTAGTATTCTCAAATGATAACACCACCTACTGCCTCTGCTTATCTTTTATTTTCCATTTTCTGGGATGCTCCAGAAGAGAAATCAGATCAGAACTTCATATAGCATTTTGATACCAAACAAGACACATGGCAGGGTTTTTAGGCAAGAGTACTTCATCTTTGTTCAAAAATTAGTGATGGCAACTTTCCCCATTCCTACCAGCAGCCAGGGAGTCCACTCTTAGTACAAGGAAGAGAAGTTGAAGTATTTATCACATCTTAAGAGGTACCATGATTGCTTTGGGTTTGAGAACATGAAGCCAATCGCTAAAGTGATAGAGTAGCTGAAATTTAACTTGGGCTTAATTAATTAGAATATAGGTTACAGCTTTGGAGACTGTAGGTTTCAGAGCATATTACAGTGAATAATGATGACCTACTGCATAACATCAAGTAGTATTAGTTGAATGTGAGTTTTAGAGTTTAGAAATTTTTATATGAAAATATTCCTCATAATGGTAACACTTTTGAGCTGAATTAAAATATCCCTGGGGGGTTGACAGTGTTGGAATAATCTTTTTTTTAATTTTAATTTTTTTTTAAAGATTTTTATTTATTTATTTGACAGAGACACAGTGAGAGAGGGAACACAAGCAGGGGGAGTGGGAGAGGGAGAAGCAGACTCCCCGCCGAGCAGGAAGCCCGATGCGGGGCTCGATCCCAGGACCCTGGGATCATGACCTAAGCCGAAGGCAGATGCTTAACGACTGAGCCACCCAGGCGCCCCGTGGAATAATCTTTTTTTTTAAATAGATGATGGGCCCTTTTCTTATATAAGAAATACCCAGCAAGGAACATTTGATTTAGAAATAATCTATTATTGGAAAGAGTAACCCTTATATTGCTCTGTGTAACACCATTCCTTTGTTTCTATTGCCTGAGCTATCTTGTACAAATCTGCAGTCTTAAGGACCACTGAGGTTAGAGGAAAAAATGTCAAAGATTTTCGATAATTTGTGGTCTGAGAGGTAAAATAAGGACAACCATGAAAGTGAAGAGGTGCTTAGGGCATGTAAGCCTGGGAATTGGCTCCTAGGCATACATGGTCACCCTTGTGTATTGGTCCCTTGCCTTACTCCACCCTCCCCTCTTCTTATCATTATCTGAAAATGTTCATTCCCCTTGCCCACAACCCATATTTTCACCAGTTGGGACTTATTTGGATGAACAGACTTTTTTTTTTTTTCCCTTAGTGCTAGGACTTCTAGACAAAGCTGATTATTTATGCCATGAAGTTAGTGAGAGTGATTTTATCCTAGTTTCAACCTGGGATCAGCTATACTGGATGTTTTGACTTGGAAGGGTGGCAGGGGATGTAGGCAGTTTGAGAGCACACTTTGGAAAATTTGGCAGGCACATCTGCTTGATTCTCCTAACAGGGATGGCTATGATAGAGGGCTTAGGGACAGCATGAGGCTTAGCACAAAGGACAGAAAGAAGGGAGTACTAGGAAGTGTGAGGGAACCAAAAGATAAACTTGGCTGGCGTTGTCTTGCCACAGGAAAGAGGAAAGAGATGATGACTCTCACCCATATCACAGCCCCTTAATTTCTGGATTCAGAACACAACAGTAGTAATAGTGGTATCATGGCTAGGCATTATTATAACTTAAATTCACTCACTTAAGAGATGTTGATCGGGGGCACCTGGTGGCTCAGTCAGTTAAGTGTCCAACTCTTGATGTCAGCTCAGGTCTTGATCTCAGGGTCATGAGTTCAAGCCTGCATTGTGCTCCATGCTGGGCGTGGAGCCTGCTTAAAAAAAAAAAAATATTGATCAGGGGGGCACCTGGTTGGCATGGTCGGTGGAGCACAAGACTCTTGATTTCAAGGTTGTGAGTTTGAGCCCTACATTGGGTATAGAGATTACTTTAAAAAAAAAAAAAAATTGGAAAAAAAAATTTGATTGGGCACTTCTTATGTGCCAGGTAGTGTTCTAGGTGCTGGGGCTACATCTGTAATCAAATAGAAATTATTGCCTTCATGATGCTTATATTTGAGGTAAATTATATGGTATGTTAGAAGGTGATCAATGAGATGGGGCAAAAAGAAGTATAGAGCAGGGTAAGGAAGAGTGGGAGTGCTGGAGTGGTAGGTTGCACTTTTACATAGAATAGTGAGAGTATACCTCACTGAAAAAGTAGATATAAGCAATGAAATGAAGGATATGAGGTTTAAACTGTGCAGATATCTGGGGAAGAGGCTCTAGGCAAAGGCCTTAAGGTGTGAGCATGCCTGATGTGTTGGAGAACAACAAGGAGACCAGTGTGGCTGGATCAGACTGATTGGGAGAGTGGTAGGAGATGAGGTCAGAGCTGAGAGACCACATCACATAGAGCTAGTGCTGCAAGATTTTTGGCTTTGATACTGGGTGAAGCTATTGGAGGATTTTGAGTAGGAGAGTGATGTGATCGGACTTAGTTCTTTCATTTTGTTTCTCTTTTATGTTTTCACTTTATTATGAACATTTTCAAACAGATAGAAAAGTGAATAGTGTAATCCCATCACCTAGAAGTAAGTTTATTAACATGTTGGTATACTTTTTTGGAAATATTAATTTATATTACAGATATCATTTACTCCTAAATACGCTAATTGGTACTTTTTAAAAGTAAGAACTTTTTCTATATAACCATGATACCAATTTTATATCTTACTAGATTGCTATTATATAACAAACTCCGACCATATTCAGATTTCCCAAATTGTCTCCCAAGTACATTTTATAACTGTTTTGTTCAAACAGTGATCCAGTCAGAGGCCATGTGTTTTATTTGTTAGGGTTCTTCAGTCTCTTAATTTAGAATAGTGTCCCCTCTCATTCCTTAATGGCATCGACTTGTTGAAGACACCATTACCATAGAAGACTACATTATTCTTCCAAGCATTAGATTTATCTGATTGCTTTTTCATGGTTGGTTAAATTTGTTCTTTGTCCCCAGTCTGTCTTATGTACTTAGAGTTAGGTCTCAGAGCTTGACTATGTTCAGGTAAAATATTTAATTGCAAAAGACTTCACAGATTGTGCTTTATGTTTCATATCACGTAACATCTCATGCCTGTCTGACCTTTAATGTTCCAGTAAGTTGATGACAGTCTAATCCTACTCCATTCAACAATGACATTTCCCCCCATTTTAATAGGAAGTTATCTGTATGTTGATACTTTGGCACCTTGTGAATGTCCAGTTTTTCATTAACCTTACATTAAGTGGCTTAGAATACATGAATGATCCTTGCCTGAGTCAGTTATTTCCTTAGGTGTTCCAAATTGTTGATTTACTGATGTTATCATCTTTCCACATTTATTAGCTATCATTTCTCTGTAAAGAAGAGTTGTCCCTTATTAACTTGGGTTGCTTGGTTACATTGAAATACAGTTCCTACTGGAAAGGCAGGATGAGTGCTTCATTCCCCACCCCCCCATTAATTACTAGCTATCAGAGTAAAGGTGACATGAGCAGTATGTGTGTATGTGAGAGAGAGAGAGAGAGAGA